GGCGATTGCGATGACTGCATGACGCTGGCTTGTACGTCGCCGCGGCCGCGCTTGCGCGAGCAGGCTCGCGCGCACGGCGGCCAGCTAGTCTTACGCGACCGACGCCACGGTCACGGCGGCGCTGCCCGCAAGGCACTTCCCAGCGCTTCTCGTTGGCAGCGCTGACGTTCGGGCACTCCAGTACAGTCGAGGCGTTGACCTAAGGAACCCTAAATAAGGAACGAGGCCACTTTTTCCATAAGTTAAACTTCGATTTCCTATCGAAAACATAAGGAAAACCTGAGGCAAGCTGTGAAACACTTAAGGAACGCGGAGCCCCTCCCCAACGAAAAGGGTTCCTTCTTCAGGGCCCCGACTGTATGTCGGCGACTCGGGCGGGCGCGATATCATGGCGACGTCGGCAACGGCAGACACGACCATGCGTCGACGAGGCAGGTTTTGGAAGGACTTCGGCATGCGAGCGCGGCCGACGCGCGTGGCCCGCATGGGTTCAGTTGACAGAAACCGCGCGCCCCCCCAGCAGGCGCGCAAGGGCGTTCGAATGATTCCGGCATGCGCACTTGGCCGAATTTGATGAACCGGTCGGGAAAACGATGGTTGCTTTGTCAGAATGCGCAATGGTTCGCGAAAAGACCCCCTTTGAGCAACCATGCTTCCGAATCGTCGTGCTTTTGTCATGCGTTCTGGAAACACGTTCTTGAAACCCGTACGAAGACTAAAAATAAGGTGTTCGGCATGCGCGCGACGCCACGCGCATGTGGACTTCGTTTATCTGTTGCGATGAACTCTTCAAACATGAAAGATTTTGATACGCGACTGCGCACGGATAGGATCATGTGTCAAGGATGGGGGAGGGTCGCAACCGTTTCGGCTGGGATAGTGTGGCTTCATACGGGAAATGAAAGATGTGGCTTAATCATATGTAATTCCACATCCCCATGGGGAACGGATCGCCCTGGAGAGGGAAGAAGATCAAAATTTCACTTTAGACAGAAGAATGCATGTGAGAGAGAGAGAGAGAGAGATCGACGTTCCCCAAACAATGCTTGCACTTAGGGGCTCTTGCCTAATTTCTAAAGAACAAGGCCTGGGTGGTGATCTGGCGGCTCCGTGCTCGCAGTCGCCGCGTCATCGCCGCCTCGTCGCCGCCCGTCGTAGGAGCCTAGCTGGCGGTCTGGCGGCCCCGTGCTCGCCTTCGCCGCCCCATCGCCGCCTCGTCGCCGCCCGTCGTCTGGGCCTGGGTGGCGTTCTGGCGGCTCCGTGCTCATCGTCGCCGCCCAGTCGCCGCCTCGTCGCCGCCCGTCGTCTGGGCCTGGGTGGCACCGTGCGCGGAGGCCACGCGCTCGCCGTCGCCGCCCCGTGGCCGCCCCGTCGCCGCACAATGTAGACTGCGCTACGTCTATAACACCGTATTCCTATCCTTCTATTTCTATTACCCGGACCCCCCCTCCCCACCCCCCCCCACCCTAAACTGGACCACCCCCCCAGGACACCCCAGACGCCCCTGCCCTCCCACCCAACGAACGCCCTGGACGCCCAGCGGCTTTCCGGGCAGTTGGACGCCCCTGCCGATCGGAGCCCACGGGCCCAGAACGGGCCCCAAGACGGCCCATCAGCGTTCAAAGAGGACCCAATATGGTTTCAAGACGGCCCACGAGGCCTCCAAGACGGTCCAAGAGGCCCCAAAAGGGACCCCGAAGAGCCAAAAATCGTCCCATTCCCTGAGGAAACGTACGCTTTTCAACATATTAGCTTTTTCCGCTTTCACAGCGTCCACGGCATCCCCAGACCCTCAAGATCGCCCCAGGACGGCCTCCGAGGCCTCTATGAGCGGCCCAAGGCGGCCCAGCAGAGCTCCAAGACGGATCAAGAGAAGCCCAAGGCGGCCCAAGAGGGGCCCCCGAGGGCCCCGAGAACTCCCAAGAGAGCCCCAAGAGAGCCACAAGAGGCCCCCAAAAGTGTCCCAAGAGGGCCCCCGAAAAGCCCCTGGCCAGCCGGGCCTCCCAAAACGGCCACCAAAGGGTTCCAGGACGGCCCAGGAGGGCTCCAAGACGGTCCAAAACAGCCCCAAAAGGAGCCCTCTGGTCCGGAGAGTCACCAGGAGCTCAACCGCGAGCCCACACCGTTCCAATATAGCTTCCAGCAAGTCTCTTACACTCCACGGTGCCGTAGTTCGCAGGACGGTGGTTCGAAAGGACCTCAGAAGCCCCACAAGCGTCCAGGACCCCTCCAGGCATTCAGGAAGCGACCAATCGTCGTCGCCGCCGTCGTCGTCTCTTTCTTTCTTTCTTTTTTTTCTCTCTCTCTCTCTCTCTCTCTCTCTCTTTCTCTCTCTCTCTCTCTCTCTCTCTTTCTCTCTATCTCTCTCTCTCTCTCTCTCTCTCTCTCCCTCTCTCTCTCCCGTCCCCCTTTTTCTGCCTCCTTTGTTGACCTCCACGTCCTTGGCATCGGATGGCCATCCTCATTCGCCCGCTCCTTCCTCTGGACCTTTCTCCCCCCT